ACGTTGAACAACGATTCGTTGGGTATAAAATTCTTTAGTCCAACTTTTAACTTTGCTCCAAACATGGCCTCATAGGGGCTGCAGTTTATACCAGTATGATGCGCTCGATTTTTCATCAGTAGTACAAAACGTAATCCTTCCGACCATTTGTTAGTATTGTTAATCTCCAACCAAGAACTAAGCATATTTTCTACGTCTTGATTACATCTTTCTACTGAACCCTGACTTTGTGAGTGCCTGGGCTTTCCATGCACCATTTTTAACTCGGACCGCATATTACACATTTGTTTGATGATATTATTGGCGAATTCTCTGCCATTATCGCTTTGTAGAATACTTGGTGCACCGAAAATTGTAAAAATATCTAAAAGACCATATGCTACTTCTTCAGCCCTTTTGGTTTTTAACTCGTTTAATCGGTTGTTGAAGCGATTATTCATATCACTTAATGATTCCTTCATGATCGTTACTTTTGTCAAAGAAGAAAGATTAACTACTGGTCACATAAATTTAAATTTAAAGTTCGGTACTAAATGCAATACGCGTGAGCAAGTAAGATGTAAGTTCTGATTGGCTAACGTATGCCGGATGATCACTCCTCAACGTATTATTATCACTTTGCCCGACTAGGTGGTAGCAGTATTCATAATGACCGGTCAATTTGATAAATTATTGAAATTTATTACAATGCCCGATTTTGTTGGTCATTATTCATAATGCCTGTATTAATCACTTTGTCCATAACATATATATATATATATATATAGGTACAGTACAATATAAGGAGTTAGTTTATTGTTACAGAATGAATATTGACTATAAATTGATGAACTGGCAATTTTGATGATTTTTGTGTTTAACTTTGACAATTTACTTCTGTTTCTATCTGATAATCCTGTCCGGCAGTCTGATTGGACAGACATTTCACATATGAAAATTCGAGCATCTCATACTACTGGAAGAAGATTCGTAAATTGTTATAATTTTTATCAATTTTCATTCACATAATGCCAAAACATAAGTGCAGTATAAATGATAATATTAGAAGAAAATTTGCCTTTATTAAAAGTATAGATGAAAATATGCAATGCACAAGTTGTAACTCTAAATTTTCCATATCACATAGTGGTTGGTCAGACATAAATGAATTATGTGAAAATGAAAATAAAAAAAAACAAACATGCTGTTCAAATTAAGGTTTCCAGCAGCAATATAAGTAATTTCTTAAATGTGAAAACTTTGAAGTGAAATGGATACAGTTATTGCTGGTGCCACAGGAGGCAACCTTTGCTTATCACATGGCAGTGCATAACCACAGCTTTAAGTCCACGGACTGCATAATTGCCATCATAAAGAACTTTTCAACGATAAATTCAGATGTTTGTAAACAAAGTGCAAGGCAATAATCACTAATGTTATTGCACTAATTGCGATTAAACAGATTAATGAAGACCTGAAAGAAGCTTATTTCTTATCAGTATTAGTCAACACATCTAACCACTTGGACAAAATGTTAGTGTCTCTGAGATATTATCATGCAGAAAAAGGAGTTAAGGTGAAGGTGTTAGTTAATTTAGGTGGTGAAACTTCAGAATTGTTATTTTCTTTTGTGTTGGTTGTGTTAAAGAAGTTTGATCTTGAAAACGTTATAGCTATATCAGCAGATAATACAAATATGAACTTCAGTGGAAAGAAGAGAAAGGGAAAGAATGATTTGTACTTCAAAATGCAAGAAAATACTACCAACAATTCAATTGGCACTAGTAATTGGTATGTAGAGTTGTCGGAATTAGATTAAGAAGGATGGAGATGGATTCTTATGAACAAGTAACAAGCACGTCTTTATTGAACAAGGAACGGTACAGAACTGAACGTGGTGCACAGGCGCACTACCAACTATATACATTTAAGAATTGCCAGAGATGGCGCTGCAATACATAGCAGTAATCTTACCTATGTAATACATAATACTGTGCAGACTGCTGCAGGTAAAGCAATATAGAGGAATTGTGAGTAGAACAACCAAACAAATTAGCTATTTATAATGTTTATCTGGATCAAGAGAGGGAATTGATCAGACAGTTCATTGATGTTGATTATTGCTTTACGGGTTTATTAGCAAGGTTGAGGACAAAGTTTTAATCGTGAAAACGTGTATATCAGGCATTCAGTGCCACTTTCCTGTAAGCATAGAAGTTTGACAGTGGTGTTTGGAATGTCGAGCATGATTCCACTGACTATCCAAACACCATTGTCAAACTTCTAGGCTTACAGGAAAGCAGCACTGAACGTCTGACGTACATGTTTTCGCGTTTAAAACTTCGGCCTCAACCGCGCTATTGTGTATGAGTTAAGGAACTCCAATTATTTTGTGAATTCACCAATATAGAGTATAAAACTGTTTTGGGTAACAACAAGACAAGATGGCTCTCTCTCTCTCTCATGCCTGCAATCCAGAGAGTTATTGAATTTTTCCCAGCATTGAAGTCATATTTCCATTCCATTGATAAATGTCCTATCAGTCAAAAAATTTCTTTGATAATCCACTTTCACATATACTTCTACATTTCCTTGCTAACCAGTTATAAACCTTTTATGAAAGCATCAAATATGTTGAAAAGCAAAGAGAACAGTAATTGAAGTAAAGGATGAAGTAACAAACTTGTGGAAAAGTTAAATTGCAGGAGGGCAGAAAAACTTCTTATTACTGTGAGAAATCAGTTGCAAGAGTTAGAAAAAGAAGGGCACATAACAGTTGAAAAGTTTGAAAGATATGTAGTAGATTTCTGTGACACTTTTATTGAATACATTTAGGAGTGGTGTACACTGTTTCTCATGCCTATGAATTGGGTGAATTTGAAGAGAAAGGAGCCTATAACTTGGAAGAATATAGAAAAAAAGCTACGTATTCATGAAGAAAGTGTCACTAAATTTTACTGTGAATGAAGATGAGTTTGTATGTGTGAAAAAATATTGTGAAAGCAAATTTGAAGTGTAGAGTGAACTGAAAGATCAAAGTACAGTATTAGTGAAAAATGGTGTGATTTATAAAGCTTTGCAAAATGAGAGTGAGATCCACAAGTTAATTAGATTAATTGATTTACAATAATGAGGATAAATATTTTATTTGTTTAAATTATTTTGCCCGAAAGGATGTAACTTTTGTCATATTCAGAGAAAGAAGGAAATCAACTTCCTTTCCCATACGGCTTATCACTATTTCATTATGGAATGGATCGCTATTGCATATTTAGAATGGAAATATGACTTCAATGCTGGGAAAAATTCAATAACTCTCTGGATTGCAGTAAATTGACATTTCTAACATAAACTGAGATATTTTGTAAAAAATACAGGATTTAAAAAATAACATTATGTGAACCCCACTCTGGCTCCTAAGCATTCCATATCTGGTCTTGATTTTCTTCTAGCTAACTCCATTCTTGAGATTAATGAAAGACGGACGATATTGAGAAGGGATAGATTTGAAATTTGCAGCCCAGTGTCAAGTCTGGTGAATGTAGAAGGAAATGAGAAAATTTCAACAACTCTTCAATAATTCTTGTTGGTTATCAAAGAAATATTTAATTTGATGATGATGTCATGAGAAATGATTATTTTCTTGATTTAAACTCTGTAGATACAGTGGAACCCTGGTTAACGAACGTAATCCGTTCCACGAGTCCGTTCGTTAACCGAATTGTTCGTAAACCGAAGCAATTTTTCCCATAGAAATTAATGCAAATACAATTAATCCGTTCTAGCCGTCAGTATTTTTGTAATTTTATTTGTAAAATGGGTTTTCTTTAATGAAAATATAGGAAAAAGTGCTCATAAACAGTCGATCTAGGTTAAATTTTCGGAAAAGGGGAAAGATTTGACGGGTATAAAAACATCACATACGATCGTTAAAGTTCTAAAATGACAGATAGAAACAATAGGCTAAATTATGAGCGAAAGGCTTATAGGTTTATCAACAATCTCTGATCAGAGTTGACGAACAGGTGTCAAATAAACGCCTCGGAACAAACCTTTCTCGTGACCTGATCTGGTTTCGGTTTTCACCTGGAGACAAAGAAGAAAACAATCGGGAAGCGAGGAATGGGACGCAGGACTAATCGTAAGGTGAGATTCAAGGAAGAAATACTATAAAAACCCCGAATCTCAAGGTCAAAACGCAGTTTTCCTAAAAATTCTATGGCGATTAATCTGTGTCGTCTTCATCTGGATTAAGCCTGAAGTCGTGCCCGCTAAAATTTGTGTTGTGTCTCGCGGACCGCTCCAGTCGTTGCAGCTCTGTCACCTACCATCGCTTCTGTGACCAAGCGAACCCATCTCGTCCGCTCTGGGGCTACGACTGATCAGCTTGCACTATCGTAGGACCAGCGATACGCCACTCCTCAGTGCCGAGAGAAAATACTGTAGATAAGCCATTTCCAACTACCTCAAATATGTAAGCATCTTCCCGTTCTAATAAACGATTTTCACTGTAAAATACTTGTCATCTTTGTCTCCTCCACCACCACCAACGTACGAATGGATCCTAGACCATCATCGACACACGATTAACTGATTTTCCCTAAAAGTCGGCAAGCTTACAAATTTGACACAAAAAGCCGTTAAGTTCGTTATCCGAATTTTGTTCCTTATCCGAGACAAAATTTTTTCAAAATAAAAGTTTGTTAACCGATTTGGTCGTTAACCAGGACGTTCGTTAACCGGGGTTCCACTGTAGTTGGAACATTATTTATATGTTTTATACAAAACACTTATTATAAATAAAATTTTAAGAAAATACTCTGAAACAGATATACATAATGTAATACTGTATTTGGATGTATTTTTAATAATTAAAAAGTCATATAAATTATATTATAGTTTTCAAAAAACAATTCAGTCAAATATTTAATATTCTTTTGTGTATATAATTGTATATTATCATCAATATTTAATAAATGAATTTTGCATAGTTATGTATTTAGTATATTATATATTTACAGAGATCCATGAAGAATGCACTCAGATTTCAAGATTATGTGGCAACAAGGTATTTTCTGATAAGCTATCTTCTATAGTAATTTAGTACTCTGCCATTAAAATATAAGGTGTTTCAAAATTATATGTCAGAAATGTAAAGGCAGGTAGAGGGGACCTAAATAAGCAGATTTCATATAGGAATGTGGGTGCGGAAATGCAGTGTTGAAGTGGTAGCATGTAAGGCAGTATTAAATTAAAATTAACAACAGGTAAGTGAAAAGACAAGTAAAGACAAAGGAAAGCAACAATTTATTTATCAAGCAGTTTACAATAGCTGCTTAAAAGAGTGACCACCAACAGCCATACAAGATTCACAGCAGTGGCGCATGGATTGGCATACATTAGTAAAAATGTAGGCATGTCATGCACATTTCTAGCAGCAACAGACAATCGGGCAACCAGATCTTCTTCAGATGTTATGGGACTGTCATATACTATGCTGTTAATGTAACCCCAAAAGAAGAAATTCAAGCACGTCAAATCTGAGGAGCACGGTGGCCAAAGAATAGGTCTGCCCCATCCTATCTATTGCCTGGAAATCGCTCCATGTACATCCTTTGAGCAGTAGCTCCATTTCCTTGTGCAGTCTCATACATGAAATATATGTCAGCAAGCTCTGCATTGGTATAATGATGCATGTTGCTCAAAATCTGTGTGGGGAATGATGATTCAAGCCAGCAAAGCGCTTTCATCTGTTAAAGTCAACAGCGCCCTGTCGCTGCATTTCCGCACCCACAATCCTATATGAAATCTGCTTATTTAGGTCCCCTCTACCTGCCTTTACATTTCTGACATATAGTTTTGAAACATCCTGTATATTAAAGTAAAATGTATACATAAATCATAAATTGCTTCTTGCATGTAACTAAAGGTATGTTTGTATGTAGCTCTCAAATACTGGTTGTTCTGCTATATTTTATCACTTTCAGTTTACATTACCTATGAATGAACAGTATTATTGACAAGCTACAAAGGCTTTTTTTTTTCTTTCTTATGGACCATCGGAGGTTGAAAAAGAAACAAAATGAATTAATTATCAAAAGTTAGGTACAAACATGGTTACTTTTCGACATAATCACTGTGAAGATTGAGGCATTTGTCTATCTGCGGACGAGATTTTAAATCCCCTCTTCGTAGAATGTTGCCGCCAGTGATTTGAGATGGCTGTAATGATGATGTGTTGAAGATCATCATTAGTCTCAAACCTCTGCCCTCCTAGCAATGTTTTCAGTTCAGAAAAGAAGTGGAAATTGCTCTGGTCTAAATCAGGGCTATACGCTGGGTGTTTAAAGGTGGTGAAGACTTAAACATTGCTACAATTTCCAACATGTATTCTTTAACAAAGTGCAATCTCTCCAATAGTATACAGAATCTTTTCATTTTCTCTACATCAAATGTGAACTTTGCTACAATAGCAACTGACTTTGTCTCCTATCTGTGAAGCTTTGGAATATGAAACACACTTCCTTAAGATGAATAGAACAAATCTGTATTTTTACAGGTTTAAAGGTCTTTCTTTTGATCTTAATAAGGCCTTCTTACATTAATCTAGGATTATTGTGTGGAAAATAGAAAAATAATTTTCTTTGCAAAAGGTTTTTGATGTAATGATTAGAGCAACCAAACCCACAAGAAGTTGGTATTACAGATGAATTTGTTGTACATGTATAGCCAATGCTCTTTCTAAAAAAAAATTACTGCTGATAGCATATAACTTAGCCACCATATATGCATATCTGCTCATTCAGTTGGAACAGAATGGTACACTGTAACAAATCCCTACTAATAGCTCTTACACTATAGCATAAGAATGTCATTGAGTTACATGAGAAAAACCTCTGGCATCACATGCAAATAGTCTGTTGAATCTATTATTTAAATACATTTATAAATCTAAATATTGATAATTAAATAAATATGTTATTTTTTTTTAAATTTTCTTTACAATATTAAATGCAATTTTTAAATAAATAGGTCACCTCCAATGCCAAATTTACCAGAAGGTCCTTCACATAAATTATCTAGTAACTATTATTATACAAGAGATGGAAGACGAGAGAGCAGACCACCTTTGGAATTAACTCCAACAAATATGAAATCTATTGCAAGTGAAAAATCTGTGTAAGAAATTTTGAAATTATTTTTTATTCAACTTTTATTCTTACTTATTTTTTTAAACCCTAGTACAGGAAAACCAAAACCTTTGTCAATAACACCTGGAAAAGGATATGTATGGAAGAAGGTTGAGTCGATTCAATAAGAATAAGTAGATTGAATGAGCCTTATAGAACCTTGTAATTTAGTGAATTGAGATGAAATTAGTGTTTAAAATATCTATATTGTTTTAATAAAAGAAAATTGGACTTGATAAAATTTTGTATTTAAATGTCTTTATTAGATATAAATAGAAGAAATAAATTATAACTTCTAGTTTATTGAAAGACTTGTGTAAAAGCTTAATGAAAACAGACATCTACTGTATTTTCATTTACTGTACTGTACATGTATAGGTCAGCAATTTGAAAATTGCCTATTTTTACATTCCTGGTCGTATGTCTGCTTATCATTAAACTTAAGAATGGAATTAAATAGATGAAAATTGAGACTAGATATATTAATAGATAGCTGGACCGGAAGTCACGTGATTTCAATTCAAAAACACCAGAACGTAGATGATGTGTACGACTCGATTGTTATCAAGCGAAGTATGATTTACAGGGGCAAGACTAAAATCGAGACTAGATATGTAAAGTTAGAAACTGGAGACCCTGAATAACTGTCCGGCAGATCCAGAAATGTCGTTTAGGTGGTATGCTTCATGTCAATATTGATATCCAAAATCGATTATTTTTAGTATCAAGACTGGTGTTTATAAAAAATACGATTTTCATTCATCAGAAAAAAGTATTGTAATCGTGTCAAATTTGACCCTTCAAGTTCTTTTGCAAATTTCCAGAGACCACCTGAACCCAAAAAAGTAAATAATAAAAATAGCAACGAATTGTGTAACTTTCCCGGCTGTTACGAAATTTTATTATAAACTAGCTGCAAGGACCCGCTTCGCTGGGTTTTTATTTGTTCGTACATTTGTATGTAATATAGTTTTTTTATACAGTATATATAAAAGACTGTTTTTCTAAGTAATCTAGAATCTAGCTGCAAGGACCCGCTTCGCTGGGTTTTTATTTGTGGGCAAAAAGTAACGATAGTGAAGATTAAGATAATTACATTATAGCCAATCTTGCCCGTTTTCACAGAATGCAAGAATTAGGTCCCCCGTTTCCAGACTAATTAGAGAATTTTTACGTCCAGTCAAACGAACTATTTTCAATTTGATCAATTTTCTGGAACGTTTACAATCGTTCTATAATCGAACCAATTCGAATTCGAAAATTTTTAAAATCGAAATAGAAAATCTTCCACTTTCAACCACTTTCAACCCCATATCTCCCGCACCCTTATAGCTATCGAGACGCAACCACCATAGTGCACGAATGGAGACTTGGGGCTACTACCACATACAAACACCATTCATGTGCGATGTGTAGTTTTGGCTGAAAAGTGAAATATAGGGGGGGACACGTCCATTTATATATATATATATATATATATACAGTATATGACATTTACATTATTAATCATAAATTTGTGTGTAACACCATCTGCTGTGAGAATTTGTTATAAAAAGTTTTTATATGATTAATTATTATAAAATGGCAAACAGCTTAATTTTGATGTGTTGAGTTTTATAAAAAAAAACCAATGAAGATTTTACTCCTTATTAGCATTTACAATTTTGTTTAAGTCCTACACCTCTCGAGATATGACATATGACTAATACCTCCTCGACCTGTAACAACCAAAATTTAATAGCATCAATACTCCTTATATATAAGCTACCATGCCAAATTTTGTTTCTTAATCATTACCAAGAAAAAGTGAAACTTATATAAAATAAAATATTGAATGCAAAAAATAAGTGCTATTATTTGCATGGGCACTACTAGTATTGAAAAAAAAATCACTAGTAAATACATTTTTCAAGGTGGTTTTAAGTTTAATTTTTAATTTTCTTTACTGATATTGCCAATGTAAAAACTTTCGGGTACAAAATTAGCATTTATTTCTACAAAAGAAAAGCAAAAATATATTCTAAATTTAATGTCGAATTTAATTTTGATTTTTGTCATTTCGTTCCGAGAGATGGCGCAACTGAAGATGTAACTCGTACCTACTGTAGTAAAATATAGAAGTGCCCTGTTATTATTATTATATTTTAATATTAATAATAATAAACAAAATAGTAAAATATTTGATATTTTAGTATAATTACCATGTAGACGAAGCTAGCTGATCGTTTAATAAGCAGAAAACGTGTGATTTGTAGAAGAAATATACCGAAAGAAGGAACATTTTTTATTACCTTTCCGTTAAATATTAATCATATATAATAAATGGAAACTGTTTAAGTCCGATTCTTAGTGAGACGAAAACCTACTTATTAAGAATTTTTTTTTCTATTTTCGTAGGTAATATACAAGTTAACGTAATTTCGTCTGTATAAGCCGGAAACTGCTAACACGAACACGGAAAGCTATTTTTTAAGCCCGCAAAAATGAAAACAATTTGCATAAGACAAAAGCGAGTATAATATTCATAACAACATGAACAACATTTCAATACTTTGACTTGAACTGAAACTTGTCATCGAGCAATAGACTTGCTAGCCAATACTTTTTTAAAACTACCTTTTGGGTCTTGTCTCTATACCCATCGTGGAGTCGATCAGTCCAACAATGGCCGGGTGATGAGAGGCGGGGTCTGATATATACGGAACAAACCGCTTGTAAAAATTGTTGTGTGGCTCGAACGGTTCGTTCCGGTTCCTCCAGAACGTAAGCCGACGCTTAACTCAAGGACTTTAAACTACATATATAGTTAATATTAGGGTTTCTCAAACGGGATCCCGGTTGTTTTTTTAACCCGGGAAATATCCCGGGAAATTTTTCTTATTCCGGGAAATCCCGCAAATTTCTTAAAAATTCACTTTTTTTCTTATTTTGTGTTAAGGTTGAGGAATTTTGCAAATAGAAAGCATAATTAACTCATTCACTGTCAGAATACATTTGTATTTATTAATTTTAAACCTACCTATTAGTTTTTTT